AACAAAATAAGTTATTTGAACTTAATTTATTGATTATAACTCTAGTTACTGAAACAGATTTGTATACGAAATAGAAATCATGGGCATATGTGTGTGTGTGTGTGTATGTATGTGTTATCTCAATTTAAACGTTATTTCAGTGGGTACTCATATTTGAAATTAAATCCATTACTTCAGAAATTGCTTTATTTACGTCGCACGTCACATGTAACGACGATCCCCCCTGCCAAGTGGACGCAGGTTCGAATCCTGCCGGAGAGCGCACATTTTTCTTTAAAAAGATTTCTCGAATATTCGGGACGATAGATGAAAATAAATAAATATACCTTTTAATAAATAAACGCTGCGTCTACTAAAATATGGTCATCCAGTAAAAATAACTTTTCAACATTGACTTATCCATCCACAGTTGTGTGCGCATATATATATATATATATATATATATATATATATATATATATATATATAGAAGACATTTTATGTTTATACATTCTTTTTATAGTTACAAATATATAAGTAAATGCTCTGTTTATAATAAACAATATTTAACATTTAAACAGGAGCGTTCGGTTAGCAAGATCGAATTTACTGTATTTAAACTTCAATCTTCCAATAATCTTTCATGTACATTCATATATGCTCATGGCTTATTAAATTCAACCTTGCTAACCGAACGTTCCCCTGTGGCCAAATCGGTAAAGGCACGTCAAGCTAAATGACGGTTCCGTATAGAATACAGGTTCGAATCCTGTCGGAGGACGAATATTTTCTGTGAAAATTTCTTGGACATTCAGGCCTGTAAATGTTGTTTAATACTGTTTATTATAAATAGAGCATTTACTTAAATATTTGTATCTATAAAAAAGAATGTATAAACATAAAAATGTCTTAAAATAATTGTCGGACTTTGTCCATTTCATTATATATATATATATATATTAGAAACTTCTATTTTAGCGTGTTTTGGTGATGAACTGTCTTCATCAGAAAATAATTTTATCCCGCAAAAACTAAATCTACATTGGCTCCGTGCCTAGAGAGACTATTGGGCTTTAAACACACCCCTAACCTCAAATGAAACTCTTACATACGATCCATCACCAAAGACGCAGAAAAAATGGTCGGCTTCCTGTACTGATCTAGTAATTATCTGATTGTTTTACAAGAGCCAGATCAGGCCGAAAATGGAGTACCTTTGTCATATTTGACCGGGAGCTGTGCAACCCTCAGTTGCGATTCCTTTTGGCTGACGAATTTTTCACCTTCCCACCCCTCTCTCTCTCTCTCTCTCTCTCACAGGCGGGATGTGGGAATCCTCTCACTGCTCTATCGCCACTTTCACGGAAAGTGCTCGGACGAACTACATTCCTTGTCTCTGCCAGTTCTAAACTTTACGGCTAGGACTCGCCAAGACACAAACCATCCACATTTGGCCGTATGCCATTAGTGAAAATTAAGTTCCAATCGAATAGCTTCTTCTTGCGAACCAGTTCCCTATGGAACCAACTCCAAAGAGGACGTTTTCCCCGATAGCTACGATATTAAAATGTTCACTTCTAGCGTTAACTGTTAACTTCCCCTTCTGTCCGTATAAACTGCCTCTTAAGGTAAGCCATTGTTTTGCTCCCGGGCCTTGAACATGGACAACCTTACTGTAAAAAAAAATAATAAAATAAAAAATTATTCACATTAAGTGGCGAAACGTTTGATTTTTATTTGTTGTTTTTCTTGTTAAATGTCCCACATTAATTCGATTTATTAAGAATACGGGATAAGCTAAAAAATCCTGATCGTATATTTACCATCGGAGAAAGATTGTTCAAGGCATTTTCAATAAGTAATATGTAAATTAGATTCATCTCTATCTATAAAAGGCAGGATGTGTGTAACGAAAGCATGGTTGCAATTTTCGACGGGTTTGCACCAAAATTTACACGCACATGCTCCAAGTTAGCGAAAAGGCCAAGACCGACTTTGCATTTCCCAACTCCCATCGATAGTGGAAATAATAAATTTTCTCATGCTTCTACGGCAATTTTCATGTGGTTTGCGGCCATTTTGTACTGGCCAGAGTGAGAGCCTAGAGCTGGCTGCCACGAATAGGCAGGATGAGTCTAATGGCCAGCCTGAGAGCCAACAGCTGACTGACACGAATGTTAACTAGCATGCAAAAAAATCCGATAGCTGCATTCGTCACAAGTGGGAAAATTTAAATCTGCATGGCACTTTACTCCAATTGGCTCATTCGCTTGCTTAAACTCAATGTTGATTCTGATTCCGCAGAACTGGGTTGGGTGTGAATAAGTATTTGTTGTTAACATTCTTTTTTCATTCGGTTTTTCCAGTTACGAGTTCTTTTTTTTTTTTTAAGCTGATCGTTTTGTGTTTATTTTGTTCAGTTCTTTTTTCGTAACAGATTTAATGTTTAGTATAGAGCTTAGAAAAATTTGCAGTGTAGGCAAGAAGTAAGGCATGTAGCAACATCAGCACGACAAAGGGCACTCATTTAAAGGCAAGGAAGGGTAAAAATATTTTAAGTCAAGTGATAGCGATTGCTGTATGAGTCGTACGATTTTTGAATGAAGCACGGGTAACGCTGGACCATGCTGCTAGTATTTTATTAAAAAAAGTTGTTTTAAATGTCATTGTATATGCGTATGAGCTGCGAACTTACTGATACATACAGATATATGCGTATTTATAGATGTATGTAGGTATATGCAGATACATGTGTATCTAGGGATGTATGACTATATGCAAATTTAGAAAGTAGGCGTGAATTTTATCTTTGACTTTGCGATCCAATTTTACCCTAAATTTTTATCTTACGAAATCATTTTCCCCAGTTCTTTAGAATTTACTGATGCTACCTTTGACATGACTACCATTTTGTAAGACGAGAAAAGTATGACACTATTAAAAAAAAATCATGAAAATAAACAAAGAATAAAAATGAAAGAATTTCATTCATTACATTCCAGTTTAAATGCATAACATTTTTACAAAATTTATTGTATTCTTTCAAAGGAATGCATATATATATATATATATATATTTTTTTTTTTTTTGTTTAAATTTTGACGTATTTTTTTTAAAAACGTTCTCTTCGAATAAATTTTAACTCTTGTTAATCACAATGATCACAGTACATGTAAAATCAATGAGACACGATGCGAAATTGAAAGATCATCTTATAAGATATTTCTTTTTTTTTTCTCTCTCTACTTTTCATTTTCTTCGGAATATACGTTTTATGCGTTTTCTTTTAATTTTCTTTTCGTGATTTCTTCGATAAGATTTTTGATATTATTGCAAATCGTTAAAAATACCAACTATCAATTGAAATAATCAAGGAATACCTCAGCATTTAATGATTTCAAATATCTTGACGCACACACAAAAAATGGGCATGACAAAAGAAAAATATTTAAGCCAAATAAATCAATACGTATAAATATTAGAAGAATATATATATATATATATATATATATATATAAGTGTGTGTGTGTGTAATGAGTGTACATATATACATACATACATACACAGTTTAATCAAGTGAACAGGGTCTTATAAATATTTCCAGAGAAATGACAAAAACTCTTTATTGTCTTGTCTATTTTGATTAAGCGAAATCTTTCCTTCATTTTATTTCTTTTCCTTAGTACCATGGGTCAGACATGCATATATATATATATATATATATATATATATATATATATATATATATATATATAATTTCAAACGTAAAAATGTCGAAGATATACACATAAAATATTTAGAAATTGCATATATATTTTTTTTTTTCAAATCTCGGAATGAGTTGTTTTGTGTTATCAGTAAATTTGCCAAGGTTCATCTTTATTTTTATATTAATTTCTTCCCGGTATTTCGAATGTTGCTACATTCATTTTCAAGGATAATTCTGTTTATATATACGCAACGTTTTTTTTTTAAATGCCGGCGTTCCCTCGTTTGATGGAACCAATTACAAATCACTCATGGTGACATTGTATAAACGGTCAAACTGAAATTTTTATGTGATTTTTTAACTCATTTCAATATATGGCACACAGTTTTTTAAAACCCTTTCAATATACGGTCCCCAACGGAGAAAGGCACCTAATTTAATGTTGGCTGCTTCTCTTTTATTTGATCAGCTTCCAGAATTTTTAGTCTTTCTTTGTACTGTGTCATATATAAAATTTTGGTGCTATCTACTAAAATTTCTCATGTATATTGTCTTGAATTTAAATTATGTGTTAAATTTAAATTTATCCTACATTCGAAAGCGTTTGGGAAGAAAGTAATATAAAGTAAAAATATATATGAACTTTGGAAAATTTATTGATAACATAAAACAAAATTTCGGAAATTTTAAAAATAAGGTTTAAGTCATATATATATATATATATATATATATATATATAGTTTATGCAAATTTAGGTAATCTGTATGGGTAGAGCTGAGTAGGATGATATCCAGAGAGCTCAATGTAAAATTCAGAGCAGATATGTTTGAATAAAAGACAGACCACGTTAAGATTCCATGTAATAAGCTATTTCACCATAACCCCTTTAACAGGGTTCTAGATCATCAGACTTTACTTCCAAAAGCTGAAATGAAAATGAAAAAGAAATTCACACGTTTTTTTGCGGACCTCATCAAGTATACGCAAAGTTAACGAAGTGAGGAAGTGAGGTGGGAGAGAGGATATGAGTGTGTCATATGTATCATTTTAGTTTCCTATTTTAACCCCAGTGTGTCGGCTGGATGTTGCTCAAATCTTAACATGGAATCTTAACGAAGAAAGATTTGTACAGTTCGAACACTGACGTCAAGTTCACACTTCTCCTTTACTTTCTTCGCTGTCAGCTTTTCTCCAGATGATAAGAACCTCGTAACACTCCTCTTCATTCTTCTTTCTGTTCTCTTGGAAATTGTTTTTACTGCCCTCTCTTCTTCTTCTTCCGCTCATAGTCTGTACTTAGCATGTATTCAACTTCGGTAGCTCCATCTCAGCGGCGATCTTTCGGATGCTGAGTCCGTCTTCTCTCTTCTTTTGGACCAAACCGATGACTTCTTTTGAATGCATTCTTCTTCAGGATTTTAATACGTTTTCACAGTGAATGGTAAAGATACTCAAATGTAATGGTCAGGGTACAATTTACCTGCAGAAAATTTGCATATTGTAGACGTTCGACGACTAAATCATTTAAAAAACCCGGAATTTGTGTCATGCCCGAAAAATAGTGTCGCCTAAGTTGAAGTAAAAATAAACAAAACATGAAAACAAAAAGACAAACCCTTCAATCCATGTTCAAACCATTAATGGACACTTACTGCTGAACTACCTACTCATCAACACAAAAGCTCTCGGCAGCAAAAACACCTTTAAGCACACTTTTCAGTGTCCCAAAAATAGTGTCGGCCCCCTGTATTACAATCGCGTATAATAGAAATATATATATATATATGTGTATATATATATATATATATATATATATATATATATATATATATATATATATATATATATATATATATTTTATTTTTAAAAAGTATTTTACATATGATATAATAATAAAATAATTTTAAATAAAAATATTAGAATATTATGCTCTGTTGTGTCGAGCACTTTTTAAAAAAAAGTACATGTTAAAGAACTGGGTATTCTTAAACTCTTTGTTCATTATATATATATATATATATATATATATATATATATATATATATAAACAGTATTTATTTATTTTCGTCTACCGGCCTGAATAATTGAGAAATCTTATTAGTGAAAAATATGCCCTCCCAAGATTCGCAAACTAAGCAGCTAGTCAAGAAATGAATGGATTTTTAATTTATGAACCTGACAGATTTCTATTACTTAAAGGTTATTTTTAGTGGATACTCGTATTTGTTTTGTTTACGTTTGGAGAACGAAAGTGGGCAGATATGTCTAATTCGAGAGCCAAAGAAAAATCTATATTTAAATCCACTATTCAACTTTGCTTGGTCAACAACGCACTTCGTAGCCGAGAGATCAAAGTACGTCAGATGTAATAACGGTTTACTCTAAGAACAAAATGAAGGTTCGTATTTTTAGATGAAAAAAGATGTCACGAGAATCTATTTGAGCTGTTAGGAAGACTAAACCTATTATGAAATGATGTTAGAATAATCCAGAAGTTATACAGGAAGATAGAAGACGAATTCAGTAGATACACAAAAAAGAAAAGAGGCGTAAGACAAGGATATGTTTTCTCTCCAGGCTGCTTAACTTCTACATCGTGGCCACCCTACGGAAATTGGTGACCCTACCAAGACTTATTATATTTATTGGGACGTAACCTTAACAATATAAGATACGCAGGTGACACAGAAAGAAAACTACAGGACCTTCTAGACAAAATATTAAAGGAAGGTAAGATAAAAAGGAGAGTTATCAACTGTAAGATAAAAACAAAAGGCGCGAATTACGAAATGTCAAAATCAAGTACAGAAATTAGAATATCTGGAAAGTGTTTTAACAGACGATGGAACACGTAACACTGATATACGAACGCGCGTTAGAATGGCGAAAAATGCATTCAAAATACAAAACAAAGTCCGAAAAAAAGCAAGAAGGTTTTGTTAGAAACAAAGAATGCTGAATTGCTATGTAATATCAAATATCTTGTAATGGTAGAAAAAATCTCTACACAGATGAAGAGCAAACTAAATGCAACAGAAATGTTACTATACAGAAGGATACTGGAAATGCCATGGACGGAGAGAGTATGCAACGAGAACTCTCAAAGAAAATGGTAACAAAATTAAATTTATTCTCAGAATCAGGCAGTTGTAATTTCTTGGACAACATAATGACGAAGGAAGATTTGGAAAACTTAACTCTCCCAGGGCATATCTAGAGCAAAAGAGATAATTGAAGGCAGTAGACACACCTAGCTTGTGTGAATAGACAGGCGGAAGGCTTGTTAATGGTAGATACGCTCCTTAGAACGTTGCTTAAATTTTCCCAGTCAAAACCTAATGATTTCTATCGCCGAGACATTGAACAGTTAGTGAACCATTGGCTGGAGGTCGTAAACAATGAAGGGGAATAAGTTATTAAAAGATTCATTAGAATTATTAATAAATAATAAGTATTAAAATAAATTATTAAAAAAAAAAACTTAAGAATTTAAATAACAACCTCACCTAACATCTCTGTACTTGGTCGGATTAAAGCTAGGGATACCTACAATCGTATAACAGAGAGTTGTGCTGTTTTTCTATTATTTCGACAGAGGAATGATAGTTGTGAAATCTGTTTATCGTGTATTTATTGTATGGCGATCATATCTGCGTCTGTTAAAATTTTGAATATCAGAAATACTATCGCATCTAAGATTTACATACCAAATCAAATATCTATCTATCTATCTATTTATCTATCTATCTATCTATCTATCTCATGTTGTTTGTCTGTGTGTCTGTCGTGGGCGTTGTTACCTCGCCCAGGCCGCATTTCTCACCCGATTTCGATGCGGTTTTCAACACAGGTTTGCAAATGGCTGCCGTAAGGACATAACGGAGCCCGATTTTTCAGTTCGGATTTAGGTTCCGAAAAAATCGATAATCGAAAAAATTCTGCTTACAGAAGGAATGATCGCATTTCAACCAAATTTGACACCCTCTGAGAGTCTACCATTAGAAGTGTTGTCCAGAAGTTTCATGACCACGGACCCCTAAACAGCGCGGAAAATCGATAAAACCCAAAAACCGATACGCCCAGATTGCGTCTGAACCGCAAGTCGGTTTTTAGCGAAAACCGAGCGGATTTATGAAGAGGCCATTGGAAGTCATCATGTGAAGTTTCAACTCTGAGCACCCCCCAAACAGAGTGCAAATCGACAATCGGTCAACCCTTAAAAATGTTTTTTCCGGTTTTTTAAAGCTGATCGTATTGTGTTTATTTTGTTTAGTTCTTTTTTCGTAACAGATTTAATGTTTAGTATAGAGCTTAGAAAAAGTTTTCAGTGTGAGATAGGCAGTAAGTAAGGCATGTAACAACATCAGCACGGCAAAGGGCACTCCTCTAAAGGCAAGGAAGGGCACAAATATTCTAAATCAAGTGATAGCGATTGCTGTATTAGTCGTACTATTTTTGAATCAAGCACGGGCAACGCCGGGCCATGCTGCTAGTCTTATATGTTTCTCTTCTTTTCTACCTCTCTAAAATGTTGTGGAAAATTTGCCCTCAAGCGCTGAGCCCGCGCCGCGTATATTAATACCTTCGAAGTGTTAATTTATTGATTAAAGATATTTATCAATCTTTAATTGATATGAGTGCTGTTTAGCGTTTATTTAATGAAGTACCGTACACAATATTCGAATCATTGCTTAACAGCTATCAAAATAATTCATTGTCGATCGCTTCTGGTTAAATTAGAGACGAGGTAAAAAAAAAGAGGAGATGAAGAGAAAAGGAGAAAGAGATAAGAACGAAACTGGTGGAGGAGGAGCGGGAAAAGAGAAAGAGAAAGACAAAATGAGAATGAAGGAAAAAGAGTAGAAGAAAGTAAAGAGAGGAGGACGTTTTGAAAAGATTCGGATGGGGTGAAGGAAAATGCTTGAAATGATGAAAATAAGAAAGAGAAGGAGCGATGGAAAGAAAGAAGAGCCAAAAGGAAAGAAGAAGAAGAAGAAGAAGAAGAAGAAGAAGAAGAAGAAGAAGAAGAAGAAGAAGAGAATAAACGGGAAAGAGAAGGCGGGCGAAAAGAGAAGGATTGAAAACAAAACCGAAAATCAAGAAAGAAGAAAAGATGAAACAATAATGGCTGAAAATCAGGAAAATGGAGGAAAGAAAAAAGAAGAGGAAACAGAAGAAAATCAGCAAAGAAGAAGAAGGAAGAAGAAGAAGAAGAAGAAGAAGAAGAAGAAGAAGAAGAAGAAGAAAGTATCGATAAAAATGAAGAAAGACGTGATAAGGAACGGGAAGAGGTTAAAGAAAAATGTAATAGAAAGAAAAAGGAAAAAAAATGGTTCAGAAGAAAAGAAAAATTAAATTTAAGAAGAAAGACATCCATCAACGAGAAAAGTAAATGGTTTTGCCTGGTACATTTCCATCCGCAAGTGAACGTTGTTTTCCTTCTGATGCTTTGAGTGGCTCTTGGCCTGGGGTGAATTTCTTTGCTTTTTGGTGGGAGAAGAAAGAAATGAAATCAATTGCGAAGGAAATTACTTTGATAGGGCCTAATTAGAAATTAAATTCCGAGAAAGACGTTGTTCAAACTACAATTGAGGTTTGAAAAATTAAAAATTAAAATAAATGAATGAAGTAAATTGTATAAAATTTGAAAACGTTTGTTAAAAAATGAGACGCGAAATTGAATTAAACTAAATTACTTACTGCCTGGAGTTTTCCCTCTTGCATAGTGAAAAGGTGTGTTCTTATATGTCGTTCGGTTCTGTTAAAATTATATTATGATAAGGATATATTTTCACACACACGCACACACACACACATACACACACACACACATACACACACACACGTTGGGAAGATTGTGAGGCGCCATATTTTACAGCATAAAAGAAAAGTATATTTAGATTAAAGGGCGTAGTGTGCTATCTGCATTTTAGATAATGGGTTTTACTCAGAGATAAGTGGCGCCAAGGGTAAATCAGTAAACTAACCAACAAGCATCACTGCGCACACAGCACAAGCGCGTATACGCATTCGGATGAATAAACACATAGACACACACACCACACACACACACAATCGCATATATAAAATATAGTTTTAAGGTATGCCATATTTATGGGTTAAAGTGCTCAATATCAGGGATAGGTCATATGTAAATATAAAACTGACAATAGAAGTTGACGAAACAGCGACAGTCTGTTTCATGTGCTTAACACAATCGTCAGGTTATATATATATATATATATATATATATATATATTGATGCATGTTTCATTAAATAATATAGACGAGTTTTGTCTATTTATTTTAAGTAAGTTCCTTTCATATTGTCTGATAAGCTTAATCACATCATCGTTGAAAGACGAAAGGAAAACACCATAAGATGACAATTTCAATAAATCAAACAACAACAGACGAAACAACAATGATAGTCCGCCCCTTGCTGCATGAAAATTTCCAAGTAACGACAAACTCGTATATACGAGACGCGGAAGCGAAAATCGCGTCGTAGCTCGTGACGTCAGACATGACCACGCGAGAATGAAAACGGAAAGTATTAAGTATGGGAAACCGTTGGTATAAACCAATGGCTTCTGTTATCAATTATAGGCATTTAAGAATGTTTGTGGAGATTTCGTAGTTTATTTTGCCCAGGTTAGGTTTCAACTGTTTTATGTATAAAGCTTCAAGAATTTTTAATTTCTGTTTATTGTTTTCACGTTTAAGTAGAGTTGTGTTGTCAACAAGGATTTTTCGGAATTGAGTACGCAGGCAGGCATGTTGTTTTAAATGTCTAAAAATGTTAGAGTTATCATTTAAATGTAGAGTCAAGCGTCGTGAAAGCGAGTTTGTGGTGTGACCAATATAAATATTATTTAATCTGTTGGAGATACAATCTCCCAAAGGGCACTTGAATTTGTAAACTATGTTGGTTTTCTGCAAATAGCTAACGAGAAGAGGGAAAAATCATTGCGAATAGTTAAGTTGGATATACTAGATTTATTTAATGAAACATACATTAATGAAAAATTGCTACCTAAATATACAATATATATATATATATATATATATATATATATATATATATTCATAATTATTCATACAAAAAACAAATACAAAGGTTAATGATTTAATTGGCGAGAAATCCATCGTCGCAAACAATTCAAATAATATACAAAAACCCCGAACCTGTTTATGAATGAAAAGATCCTTGTTTTATAAATTTCTGTTGCATAAGTTCTTATTATTTTTACAAGCTTTCGTCTGTTCTACAGACATCCTGAAATATAGAATAGATTTTGTTCTTGTTTTTTTACTCTCAGTAATAAGGGACAACGAAAATATATGTATTGTAATCCGAAAATGCTATTAGAAATGAGTTATTGTTTTTGGAGCGTGCAGTCGCAACGCTGAGTTTAAATTAAATTTTACAATTGTACGTTCTTGTACAAATATGGTGATAAGTAAATTCTTTTTTACTAAAATTTTCTGGCAAAGTGGCATGAACTATATTGTGCAATAATTATAGTAATGACGTACTTTAATATCCACAAACCCCGAACCTGTTTATAAACAGGTTCGGGGTTTTTTTGTTTGCGATGATGGATTTCTCGCCAATTAAATCATTAACCTTTGTATTTGTTTTTTGTATGAATAATTCATGAATTTGTAAATTAATTGCACCTTTATTGAAATATATATATATATATATATATATATATATATATATATATATATATATATATATTATTTTCCGATAGAGTGTATCTGTAAAGGAACAAGATGAATAAAAAGACAAGAGGAAAAACTATTCGTAGCCGACGCATTTCACCCTCTAAGGAACTTTGTCCAAGGCAAATGTAGAATTTTTTTCTTGCAGTGTTTATATACAAAAGCAATTGGTTATCAATGTTCTTAAATTTCAGTACATTCATGAATATCAGTTTTCTAGTTTTGGGGGAGACCGTAACGGAATCTAAAAAAAGATTATATGAGCACAAAAAGGAAATTCTACAAAATAATATGTAAAATATGCTGGTTGCACACCGTAAAGAGACTGACTATAACTTTGTCATAAAAAATGCTTCTCTGATCAAAGAAGAAAATAATTCACTTCGGCGTAAACGTTGAGAGAATGCTTTATTCGTAAGGTCATCCACAGTAAATTTACGCCCTGGTCCTTACAACATTTCACCATTACTGGCAGATCTTCTAATATCACATTACTTAGAAAACTGATGGAAAGAAAAAGACGCTAAATAAATTCGGATAGAAAAAAGAAAATAAAATTCCTAGCGCCCGTCTGTCATGCGCATGTGTAATTCTATCGAAATAACAAAATTTACACCGATGAAGTCCTCAGGGCTGAAACGCGTCACAAATAAACTTTTTCCATTTGTCATAAAATTTTCGAAATAGACTTGATATATAAAAATATAGATTGTTATATATATATATATATATATATATATAATAATGGGAGACGTGTGTATATATATATATATATATATATATATATATATATATATATATATATATGTGTGTGTGTGTGTGTGTGTGTGTGGATGACAATATTATATATATATATATATATATATATATATATATATATATAAGAAATATAGTTTTAAGGTGTGCTATATGTATGGGATAAAATGATCAATATCAGACATAGAGCGTACATAAACATAAGTATAAAAGCGAACATTGAAGTCAACACTCAGAGGCGACAGGCTGTTTTAGGCGGCCATCATGAAATAGTCTGTCGCCTCCGAATGCTGACTTCAATGTTCACACACACACACACACACACACACATATATATATATATATATATAATATTTTATTATGGAATTCAATGCTAGCACAATAAAATGGTTACTATTCTTCTAATGTTGGCAAAATATTTAGGAAAGCCTTATATTGATATGAACCCCGCGTAACAGCATATAATAATTATCCCTATTAAAACTATTGATAATATCTTTTTATGGAATGTCAGTTTTTGAGAAGCATCAATTTTTTGGCTATAAAATAATTTAAAAGATACAGGCGTATATACACCCTTTGGTTCAGTCATTAGGCCCTCTCAATGTATCATTTATTTATCTATTGGGTAAATATTTTCATCTACTTTTCACAAATTACTTTTTTCTCTTACATATTTTGTGTGTTTAAAGTTAATAGTTTGGTTGATTTGATATCTTATCAATATTCATAATACTCTTAAAAATCTTTCTCCGTTTAAATTTACAAGACTCATATTTCAAATATGTCCTTGCTGAAAATTAAAAAAAGTAATTTGCTTATTATGCTTTAAATCCTTAAAATTATTAAAATTAATTTCTTTTCTGATTTTTTTCTGATTCCTGTTATAGTTTTTCCAAATTTCTACTAGAATGTTCCCATCAGCAATACTTCATAAATCTTTCTACTATTGAAAATATTTATATAACTGAAATTAAAAAAAAAAGTATATACAATATGCGATGGGAAAATTGTCGCCATTTTATATTTTTCATTGTGTGCATGGGCGCTGTTTATTTGTTTGTAATTTTGTCGACTGCCCAATACAGTAGGGTTAGTTGGACACCGTCTATGAGAAAAGAACACTATGACGCAATTCTCTGTGAAAAAAAAATTGACCAAAATGTTTAGAAAGGTTTTTTATTCGCTAGATCATCCACAGTTATGGTTCTTACAACATTCTACCATTCTTGGCAGACCTTATCTTATCAAGATGCGGGATATTTAATAACAAAAATGATAGAAACACAATAAAAAAAGAAAAAGTATATAAATCAAATCGATTAGATTTTATACCCAAAACAGATATTAAAAAAAAAAAGGTTTAAATTTAAAGTTTCCAGCGTCTCACATTCGTGCGCATGTGTAGTCGCGTCAACGTAAACTTTCTAAACTTTGTCATACATCTTTCCCCTAATATATATATATATATATATATATATATATATATATATATATATATATATCAGTGCTTTTGGCTTCTTCGCCATCGCTTGTGGGATGAGTGGGGTATCGAATGGATACAAAAATTCAGGTTTACAGAGCTGTTGTCCTTGCCATCTTTTTTTTACGGATCAGTGTTGTGGACTCCATACAGGTACCATATACACCAGCTCTATGTTTTCTATTAGAACTGTCTGCGTGTCATCTGTGGAGTTAGCAATCAAGGCAGGACATCCAATGTAGAACTGTTCAACATGTGCAATATTGAAGGAATGTCAGATCCTCATACGTCGAAACCGATGGGAGAGTCCATAATATATATATATATATATATATATATATATATATATAGATAGATAAACCTAGTGAGCCAGACAAACATACCTAGGTTTCACCTAAACGGATCTT